TTACAAACATATAAAAATAGGTACAAATCTTTCCTCTTTATAATATTAGTATAGATTTAATGATTGACTTAACTCGTCGAGTACCGGTTTTGTAGACACAATTATAGAACAATAGGTTGCGGTCACCGGTGACCGCTTGGTGTTTGACAGTTTAATAAACAAAATGATTATGTATTTTCATGGATAAAAAGTCATCATCATCACCATCATCAGCGGGAATAGCATTCTACTTAAGAAAGAGTTTGCTATCAGCTCCATGGTTAGCTTAGGGATTTGCTTTGAGGTCATCGAAATTTTGAGGATATTGTGCAGAAACATCTTAGATTAATTTTTAATAGGCGTTGGTCTTGTGGATGTAGAATCGGCTCTTATTATTTCTATTGTAAGTTCCTATTGTTTGCTAATTGAAACCCTAGGCTTCGACAAACTGAAATTCATTAATAAAACAAACCGTAACAGAGAATTGGGAACTATTTGTCTTTGGAAAGTTCAAGTATCGTCTTTGAACCAGAAATAGAATAATTATCCATTTTTCTTACTCTTTACGTTGTACCAAATTCTCTCAATTCACGTTCACCATATTTTTAAACTATTTGCCCTTAAAGAATGGCAAAATTTATTACATTACCTAATCAACTACCAACACAACATAACATCATACCTTTTATTCATTGAAGGAGCATGCAGAATGCATACAACACATACTTATTCAAAATTTCGTCTCCCGCTTTGGATTTTAAACTGGTTACCCCGTCGAGGGTTAAAAAGCACACATTAACTTAGAAAAACAATTCGTAAATCATCACATTGTCTCAAGTGTAAACTAATCGCGTTTTCGTCACTTATACATATTTATAACAATTCGCGCTAAGACTCCACAAACCAAACAACTGCAAAGTAAAATCAAAGTCAAATATTTACCTAAAAGAAAACTGTTCAAGTATAAAAGATGAAACACCAAGTTGATTTAATACTTTAAAACCAGATACTCTTCAACGTTCGCGCCAAAAATAACCGAACCAACCAAACTTTGAACTTAATTAAGCAGAAGTAATCCCCAGAAAGTTCGACGGAAACTCCATTACTTTAATTAACACACTGATTCTCAGATTTCATTAAAAACTTAATTTGAATAAGCACTATGCTAAAATTTTTATCTTGGGTACTTTTTTAGGAAAATCTCATCTTTATTTAAGTTATTTCACTCTTGACAATGGGTCGAAGCCGTGGGCGTGGCTATCCATTAGGAATTTAGAAAATTCGAACGCTCGAAGTTTTTAAATAGATTATTGGTCTAGATATATTATGTCAATAATAAAAACCTATTATACCCCATTAAGTAAAACAAAATTCACTACTCAAGAGAATAAATTAACTTTTTTAACCTGGATAAAATAAAATATAACCACGAACAATTCATTATGTGCCAACAAGGCTGAATAATATTTTACCGTTGTACAACAAGTGTAGTTACAAAAAAAATGGCTGACAAAAATGACAGTTTTATTTTGGAGAATATATTTTAGGATTCCTTACCTCATAACAAATATTCTATCAGAATCACTTGCTTTTTACCAAATTCAAAGTGTGATTGAAACGCAATGTAATGTTTGCAATCAATAAAACTGAATAAATACAATCTAGATTCATTTATGCTATACCTGTATCCTAAATGGCACTAAAGGGGAACAAAACTTACTTTGAGATAAGTTTAAGAAATCTTCAATGCTCAAGGTCGACGTACTTTGCTTACAGAATTTCTGCTAAATCTGTTTTCTATTTTTTACTTAGTTAACAAAAATCCTCGTCTGACTTAATAAATCTTCGTGTACGAAAACATTCAGCTTTTTTATCAAAAAAATATAGATCTGTACGCAGTTACCGACGAATAAAATAAAAACATTATTTTGCATGACACAAGAATTTATTACTACGTCGTCGTCGTTACGCATAGAGAGTGTTCGATATTCAAATTATTCAATGTATTTTTTTATTTCTTGATAAAATAATTTATCTATGGCGTCTTGAATGTTGCTCGGTGTTGTAACCCAATTTTGTCCCAAAATAATTTTAATCTAGAATTGTGAGTAATGGCTGCCTAGGGCTGACCGTTACGAAAATTGTACCAAGTCAGTAGCGTAATTTGTACGAATAGGTACCTAACCATATTTATAATCTTGACTGTCCTTTACCACTACGCTTGAGAAATATCCCAAATCATAAAATATCAATAATACGTTTTCATCTTTCCCGTTTGGTAATAAAATCGAAAATGTATTGTAGTAATGGTCGGTTCAGGATAGCTTGATATGCCGTCGACTGTACAATAATATGTGACTAGGTACTGGCTGGTGGTTTACCCGTGGTAGTCGCAAACATTAACAGACCGCTCACACACGAATAAAATATTCAGCTAAATACTTTTGTTTGTACGTAGCACACCTACGTTTATGTACTCGCATCATGAATATTTGATAGCCGTGTTTTAGTAGGTGCTCAAATTTTTGTTGGAATTTTTTACAAAATTTAAAAATATGTTTTATTTGTGCAATTTGTTAGTGGTAATCGGTCGCCAATTCATTAGTAGTAATTTTATTTTGCTTTAGTCACCTTTTAAATGTTACTAAAACATTTTTATTGCTAGAAAATTCTAATTAGGTAAGTGCATAATTTTTATTTTTAATTCTAATTACGGTACCTAATCCTTTATTCCGGCTGGAATAAATTATGTGTACCTACCTACTCTATGAAGGTGACTATTTTTTATTAAAAAGTTAATATTTAATTAAATACTAATAAGGTTTCGTTTGTTTATTTAACAACACGAAAATTATATTATATTTGCAAGGCAGTGTTGGCCGTCTAGAACATTTCCGTTGCCCCAAAATAAAATTCATTAAAAACCAATTTTCTAATACCCCCGCCAATTCACAAAATTATATTATGGCACTAAATAGGTTTGTTGCTCGGAATAATTTAGTAATGGCTCTCATTCAAAGTTTTATCCGATTATTATTTGTACTTAGACGATTAAATTCAACATTTATAATAATCACTAGAAAAATATTGGCCATAAATAAAAAAAATATTGTCTATGGAATTTTGGAATTCGAACACGAGAGGTTTGCCAAAGAGGAAAAAAAAAAAAAAAAAAAAAAATGATGGTAAAATGAAAATGGTTTTTTATTCATTTATTGAAGCGTTTGTTTATTTAAAAAAATATATTATGTAAGGTATGTATGTAAGTTTCTTCTTTATTTCATTACAAATTACAAAAATGGTTCCAAGCGTCATTCTAAAACCAAATATGAAAATATATTTTTAACTCGTCGAGTACCGGTTTTGTAGACACAATTATAGAACAATAGGTTGCGGTCACCGGTGACCGCTTGGTGTTTGACAGTTTAATTTAATTATTACATTACATTTCTCAACTTTATACAAAACAGTAATGGTCACAACCTTCACATCGGTTTCTGTATTCGACAATAACAATCGTATTACCGTTTTATTGGAAAAATTGTCGACAAACTGTTTGTTGTTAATTGTTACGACGTAGTTTCCTGACCCGGTTTTAAAAAAATACTTTTTTCTTTTGTTTGTAATGTTCTTTTTTCTTTTGTTTACTCATTTTGTTTTTCGTTTAGTTTTTGTTAACAACTGTTTTAATAGGCGATAGGGTACGATAAAAGTAAGTTGTTAAAGGTAGGTACTACGTAAGTAGGTGATTTATATCGGTTAGCGTGACTATACTTAATGGTCTTTTGTTTGGCATTACAACAATGGCATGATAAATAGTTATTAACAAAATATTGTGTAAAATGTTAACATACGGTAATATTATGATTATTAAAACCTCACACTATAAGTCTGCTAGTAAGATTCGAGTATAGACAATAATCCGCCTAGGTAGCTATTTCATCAGCCTTCATATTTTTAGGCAACATTAATCGTTTAATTCCTTGGTAACGACGTTCAAATCAAACATTTTCCTATTTCCCAATCCATCAAGCTGCTTAATACAGGTAAACGGTGCTGAGGTCACGTAGCGTGTCGTTGTCTTTTCGGAAATATCATGAGCCCTCCCCTCAAGATAACATGAGCGAATTTTACCCAAAGATCCCATCAATAAACATCTATTATACTAATAACGTTTAAGGGGAAAATCTAATTTGTATCAATTTTCTTAAGGGCATCGACCGAATTCTTAGCATTCTGAGCTCTAAGGTCGGTAACCGCCTACTATTTAGTGAGCCCTTTAGGTAGCTCTATGGACTCCGTGTCAAATTCTTTGCGTTTCAAAAGTTTATCAGAATTAATCATTAAGATTCCGAGGTGATTAAGGTGTTAATTCGTTTTAAGTTGAGGTCGATAAACTCGTTTTGTTTGCTTAACAAATGAAAAGTGAATTTCAATGAAATAATGGCTGGGTAATGAATAGAAGTTTCCGTCTAGTAGGTACCCTTTTTAGGTAGTGCCTTTTTGACTGAACTTCTCTCAAATTATATACTAATTTGAGAGAAGTTTGTATTTGAAAAAGGATTTCGCAAATTAATTCTATGTAGAGGTGTCATCCTAATCCAACGTTTAGGTACTAATATTTTCTCCAATTTAATAAGTTTTAACGAAACCGTTTTAATATAAAATTATATTAACGGAAAAAAGGAGAATGAAAGAAAAAACATTTATTTCACAATTAGCACACAAAACGAAGATTATGAAAAAAAAATAAAAATACAGATATATAAAGAAAATACTAATAATAAACTTAAAAGAATAGAGATCAGAACAAAAAACATCACAGTGTAACAGAATAATAATACGATAATAACAGAATTTTGACTAAACAAAATAAAAAAAAGTATTGTTAAAGGTATTTTCTTACTCTCTATTCTCTACTCTCTACTCCCTACTCAAATACAATCTGATAGAATTTGACATATATAATATTTCTAAATAACGAAACCCATTCTAATTTTGTCATTTTCATTGTTCTACAGATCACGGTGTTCCGAATCCAAGAGCGTGCTGAAGGTGGCGAGGTGCAGGAACTTGACCAGGTCATCCTAACGGCTTTGTTCCGAGCTCAACACCTGTCTCCTAGTGAACAGCTATCCTTGGCACTAACATGGAACCGAGTAGACATCGCCAGATCCGAGATCTTCGTGTACGGACAAGAATGGCCGCCAGGTGAGAGAAGAATATTATTACTTGTCGTTGCTTTTTTTCAGGTTGATATAGGTTCTGAGAGTTATTTTGAAACAAAGCCAGGTGATTTTTACTGGCACCGAACCGCTTATGTTTTAGCTACCTGCTGTGTAGCTAAAACATAAGCGAAGCAATATGCCTAATGTCGGAATACTGAAACGCTACTCAATTTTAATTCGTGCTTAAGTATAGTTCTATCTCTACAAATTCTTTGTAAAATGACAGAGATGGCACGATATTTGAGCACGACTTAAAATTAAGTAACGTTTCAGTATTCCGGCATAAGTGATGTAGATTTGATTAATCCTACCAGAGAGATGAGGTCTATAAAACAAATAACATGTATTAGTAATAGTGATATTAGTAAGACTTCTACACTAAAACAACTTAGCAATTTTAAAGTTCCTTATAGGTATGTCTAAACTACTTTATTTATGAGGTATAAACAACACCTTGTTAGGAAGATTCCAAAGGGCTTATGTTTAACTTACTACCAGATATATAAAAGAAAGTCGTGTTAGTTGCACTATTTAGAAGAACAGCTATATCGATTTGGATGAAAATTGGTGAGGATGTAGGTAAGAACCAGGAGACGGACATAGGATACTTTTTACTCAATACTTATTTTTTACTTTTAACCGAAAATCAAGAACGGGTACGGGAAATATCGGGATTGCGCGTACGAAGTCGCAGGCAGAAGCTCGTAATAATATATAACAGACAAAAACAGAAAATGATCACCAAAGTGAACCCGCATTTCAAAGTATGTTCTGATGGTTATAATATTTAATCCTATTCCAAAGTATCTACTTAGCTTCGTAATATTCCGTTATGATCATATAAGTTTTGTTCTTTTAACATAGTAAGTGTATCTAATAAGCACTCAATGGGTACTTGGAAGTATAACAAGTTTTAGTTTATTAGTTGTTTTAAAGAATATGTGTGAGAGTGCATAGTCTTTTAAATAGGATCTACGTAAACAGACTAAATGAAATAAGTAACTGGAAACTGGAAACACAAAGCAAATTGTTTTATAATATGTAAGTTATATTATGTTAGACGTAAACCAACAAAGGTGTACATTTCTAAACTTGGTATATTACATTTCTTAGAAGTTGATACTGCATAGTGTTCTGAACTACTTAAACATACAAAATATAAAAAAATATGTAAATAAGCCCAGTTCTATATTTTTATTATAACTTTCGAGAGACATACTAAATAAATTAATGTTTTCGGCTTACTCATTTCGCGACCTGCGTCAGCATCGCAAAAGTCGCCGCGTCGCAGGTCGCGAAATGCTGCTCACGAATATGAGCGTCTAGCATGGCTTTAAGCTAGTCGAGTTCCTCGTCAAATAATTACATGAGTAATCCGAAAACAATAATTTACTAAGCACAGTACTTGTGGAAATACAAATAAAACTAAACAGATATTGAAACACATGTTTTGAACTTTAAATGAACGTCGAATTTTGATGAAAGATACATACGTCGTCTTGTATTAAACAACAAAGAGTAACTAATCTCTTGAATAGAAACAATGTCTTAAAGCTAATAACTTCCAAAATTATTTATGTAACAACGCCTGAACAAGAGAGTTCCTGAAAACGTTTACGAAGTATTTAGTCAGGGTAGAAAATTAGTTAGAACACAAATTCGCTCAAAACACAAACTTGATGTATTTAACATACGAAATTCACTGTTTATACAGGTAAACGAAAATCTTCATAAGTACTCTTTGATTACATGACTTGCTTACTTGACTGTGTTCTTAGAACCTGAGTTACTGAGATATTAAGTTGTCACTGTTTCAGCAAAGAATACACGGCAAAATCCAATTACGGCGTTCTCAGAGAGAAAATCGTTGTTATAGGCCGACGTAAAAAATGTGAATGTGAACTTGTATGTTTGTAAACGGACCCACGACACAGAAAAAAATCCTTGTGTGGGACAAGATTTATATAAAACTAGCTACTTCCGCGCGATTTCACACGCTCTGTTCAGTACCTATTGGTCGTAGCGTGATGTTTTATAGCCTATAGCCATCCTCGATAAATGCGTTATCCAACACAAAAAGAATCATTCAAATCAGACTTGTAGTTACGGAGATTAGCGCGTTCAAACAAACAAACAAAAATACCACGCTTTATATAATATATAAATAATATATAATATAGTATAAGATATACCTAAGATAATTGTAAGTACCGACGGCTTAAGTATTTCTTCCAACAGTAAGAATTGAAAGTACACGATATGAAAAGTGAATACCGTTTGATAACAGAATCTCTTGCTTGCAAAGACGTAATACAATACAAATAAAGTCCTTTAATTCTAAACTCTCAATCTCAAACAAAATTAAAGCATATCAAACAAATAAACTTGAATTGGTCTGTATTCAAAGTTTAAAGGGGTATATTCATTAGCAGGGCCTGGCAACTTAACTGTTCGCAAACAAATTACATTTGGTCCGTACGGTACTGGGTACAGAATAAATTCATAGACCCCGACCCTTATTGGGTCTGTGGAAAATGATATACCGTCATATTGGGATTTGAATTGGAAGGGACAAATTGTCACAAATATTATTTATTTGGCGACACGTAATGAAAATATGGACTGTGTTTAGGAATCAATAACCTTTTTGGTTTAGTTGCCTTCTAGAACTAGTGATTTAGTATTTATCTAGATTTGTTTCTGATTACCTTTGTTTATTTAAGTCTGTACCTACAACAATTTTTATATAATCTAGTCAGTAACATCAATACCGCTATAAAAAATCAAATCGATGGTTCATGAGTTTTTTCAAGCTTCGCCGTTACGTTAACTATTCCAAAATCCCATGAATTCAACTCAAATCCACAATATAGTATAAACTTTATTATGCGCATGAGGTATAAACCAAATAAGGTTTTATGTCGATGTAAAATTCACTACTGTTTACCTATAAAACTCCTAAACTATAACCTGCTACTATAGCTTGAAATTAGTTAAGTGTCACTTAAAGCCTCCCCAATGATATTAGCACTTATGTTAAGGGAATTTTGCACCTGTCACCCTGATCTTAGTCACTATTTTACTATAGAAAACTCTAAACTACCGAAATATTTATGTACATTAGAACAAAACGAACTATCTTCGAAAGTCCATTTTGATCTAATTTTCACTACAGTTCTAGTTAACTTCCATGTGGTAAAGACAGACATATGTTTGACTGTAGAACTTATCTTGTTTTTAACACAAAAACCCAATATATTGACCTAAGCTGTTATAGGAATGATTTCACAAACAAAATAAATCAGTCTCAACCATGTCGAAATGAAAAATATCACTGTTATGTTGGCATTGTATGATTTATGATGAAGGCTGTACTTTATTTTTCATGTTGTCTCTTAGGTATTCCTATTCATGAATTTTAAAACGAAAGGTAGCGCGGTACGTTACAACTGAGATGATAGACATTATTGTTTGAATAGCGAATGCAGAAAGAATTTCCTTTCACACTTTTTTTCACATTGAAATGTAACATTTTTAACTATAGAGGTAGATCATCTCATGTCATTTCATGTTGATCTAAAAAAAACGGTATAAAAGACATAGCTACATTTTCAAACTGTCAGTAGACAATATAGTATGTGATATTGATCAATCCGCGAGACTTTTTAACGTTTAGGGTTTTCGAAATGTACACATCCATTTATATATTTTACCTCGTTTCAGTTAAGGAGTTTGCTTTACCAATTTTCGCACTGATCAGCGACATAATACCCTTGTGATGTAGTTAGATATTAAATATGAGACACGTGTAAGCGCGGTTATCGGAAAACGAAATAGCTTTTGTTGTTCGCCCTCTAGAGATATCCTCTATTTTCTGATAGGAAACTTTTCTATTTTTCCTGCAACACTGTTGAGTAGTGTAATTATAATAAATAAACCGTGGTTCTTGAAAAAATCCGTACATTCTTTTGGATTATTTGTAATTATAATCAAAATATAATATATCTTTTTGTGAAAACTCAACCAAACATTTGTTTTATGTATCAGAAACATTACTACTACTATTTTTATATATCCAATTTATATTTGCCAAACATTGAAATCGTAAAACTTATTTGAATAACTATTCATTCAATCGTGAATAACAATAGCAAACAATTTAAAGGGAGGCAATTCTGTTAGCGTCCTGTTTGCACAGCGCAAACGTACTGAATCCGCCTTTCACCGCCTCCAAGAATTGTATTTGATTACTGGAATTTATATGAGGAATGGGGATTTAAAAGGACCTTTTGGAATCCGACATTGACACGAAATAAAGACAAAAGTGAAATACGTTTAACTTTGTATAAATATTGAGAAACGAACAAATGTAACCACTCGGTCGTGAAAATTAGAAGGCTCGAATTGTTCCAATGTTTTAGTTGCTCAAAGGTCGTGAATAACTTTTGTTTTTGTTAAACGGGTTGATTTATATGTTTATGTAACGGCCATTTGTTCTCGAGAAAGAAAAGGCTAACCCGGGGCATTTGTGATTTGTCCGGAGGTCAGGGCATAGGTACGTAACTAATATGAAACTAGAAAATATTATTTTTCTTGTTAACTGAACTGAAAACTATACAACAGTGACTTTAATTTGGAAAGAAATAACTCCTGCCTTATCTACTTACCTTATTGTTTACTTCAAACAAAAGCAATGAACGAAATAACAAATCAAAAATTTACAACTCTATGTGTATACATGTAGTATATCTGGGCTTTTCACAGTTGATCAGACTGTTTTGCCTTTTGGATTAGTCTATCTCCTGTATAAATTGAATGACGGAAGTGGAAACCACAGTTTTTTATCCTCCTCTATCAAAATCTTCTGAATCATGTCGTTGCGGGATCCAAGACAGTTATTCATGTCTCTGGGACGCGCCGAAATCCATTGTTCCGGTGTTTTCATGGTTGTATCTACCGCAGGTAGATCCTGGCTTACAGGAG